AGAGGAGAACACCTGAAGAACCTCAGTCCTCAGAGGAGAACACCTGAAGAACCTCAGTCCTCAGAGGAGAACACCTGAAGAACCTCAGTCCTCAGAGCTGCTGAACTGTTACCAGCAGTATAATGAAGGTGAGGACGTCGCCACAGTGCAGCTGAGACAGGATCCCTGAGAACAGCTGATTACTCAGGACCTTTAAATAACACGACGGACAGGAGAACGTAACGACACCAGCAAACCAAAATAACAACAGCCATTCTTCTACTCCGACTCCTTCAGCTTCTTCTGGTCGTCACGTTATCGTCTCAGTTTCTCACCGAGGCGACGCAAGAACAATCTGTGAAACCTCACGAGGTCAATTCAATTTCTCTGAGGTTATCAACCTGTAAAATGTGATATCTCACAAAAGAGGTTTGAAATCGACTTTCTTTTTTAAAGCCAGACGGTGAAATCTGCAGGGAACATTTCACAGGATCCGTCTTTGAATCTTAACTAACGCAGCGACTCAGTCACAGAATATTAAGCACATGGAGGAAACACAGGTCGCTTTAAATGTCACATTTAATTTATAAACATAATATAATGTGTCACATACATATATATATATATATATATATATATATATATACAGTATATATAATGTGTCACATCCACTCAGCTGCTTCTTTTCTGAGGGTCAATGAATTAGAAAAGTCTAATAAATCTAGATAAATAAAATAAACCCAATAAGAACAGACTCACCTGACTCACGAGGTCCTGAAGCTTGACCAGTTTCCCCTGAGCGACACATTAGAGCGGCTGCAGAAGATACAACGAGCAATGATAAGGTGTGAAGGAACAGGGAGCAGGTGAGAGAGAGTTTAACACATCAGGGGATTTTACCAACTTCTAATTGGAACCAGAATGGAAGCAGCCTCCAGAAACCTTGTTTCCCTGAGTCACGTTTCTTCATGGAGCTGAGCATCATGATGAAACAGGACAAACACATGTTGACGCACAGCTGGACGCACGTTACTGGAGAAACATCATGACTTCCTGTATTATCTTTCCCAGCAGGTGAGACACAGAAAACCCGACAGGTCTAACAGGCGACTCTCGTACAGTGTGGATGAGATGAGCTTTAGTCTGGATCTGTGTGCGTCAGACGTCTGAAGTTTGAAAAGCAGCTGCATATAGACGGTCTTTCACAGACGCGGTGTTTCTGTCATCCTGTGGCTGTCGAGTGTTTGTCTCTATTTTCAGCAACGTGACGAAGCTTTCACCCTTTGTCTCAATCACATGATCAGAGAGCAGCGGAGAAACTGTGACGTGGAACTCGTTGGGCCTCGGTTGTTTCTCTTTTACTTTTCAGCGTTTGATTATTATGGTGATTTTACCAGAGGCAGGAAACGAGCCACAGTTTTACAGTAGAATCTGAAAACCTGCTTCCAGGAAAGAACTGTGTAATTTAGTGCTAATTACAGTTCTGCTCTTTGTTCTTTTCTTGCACAGGAACATAAAGGGACCAGCGGCCTCATCTATATTTAGTCGTCTCCGTGACTCAGACTGGAAACATGTTATTCTCACTGATTTCCTGATAATTATTAATCTGTGCGTTCATGTGATATTTGCTTTTTACGATATTTGTGTGCATCGCCTCACGAGTTCTTCGGAGGGGGGGGTTGGGGAGGTTTGGACAATTAAGGTGATTTTGCAGAGGAACTCAAAGGGACTGGTTTTTATTTTCATGATGTAAAGAACATTTATGTTGTCGTTTAACAGCGGCAGCCTCGTGCAGCGTCAGGCGCATGTTTCCAAAGTCTCTTCATGAATCCAGACCTGGGAGAGGAGCCTCGACCCATGAGGCCCCTTAGACCCAGACAGAAAGAAGCCACATGGACCCAACAGGTCATTAAATCATCAGGGTGAAAACAAATTCACGTTTTCTAAAATGAAGCCTGAGCAGCAGCATCGAGTGAAAACTGGAGTCCAGGATCTTTAACACACAAACAGAGAGTTGTGTCCTCGGATGTTAGTTCATCTTTCTCTCTGTTAACTGCAGCGTCACTGAGTCAACGTTCAGCTTCAAGTGCTCAGGTTCAGTCCCTCAGAATCTATCCA